ATATTATTTGAATTTCGATTAATTGTTTTTGTTTTCAATTTAATTTAATTTCACGTTTTTAAATTAAATAGTTTCAACAAATCTATAATTTATTTATTTGCATCAAATACGAGTTAAAAATAGTAAATTGAGAACGAAAGTATAGTCCTCATGGGATCGACAATCCGGACTCAAAAGTCCACTATATTACTTGTTACGATATCGTACACATGCGATATAAAAAACGCAACACATGTGAATATGTATCAAAAAATTCTAGTCATTCCTTTTGCTTATACCCTTTAATTATTAGTCTAGCCTTATAATTGTCTATTGATTCATTCGACTTCAATTTTTTTGAAAATCCACTTGCAGCCTAAAACTTTGTTTCCCAGAGGAAGTTCAACTAATTCCCAAGTATATGTTATTAATAATGAATTCAATTTCATTATTAACTAATTCTTTCCAAAAAGGAGATTTGAGAGTGGACATTGCTAAGTTAAATGCCTTTGGATCATTTTCTAGTAGATATGTTAGAAAATCTCGACCAAATGTTTTATGAATCATTTGCATTTTACTGTACCTTGGTTCTTTATCTACTTGATGATTACTATATCTTTTATAGTTTCCATTTGCATTCGTAAGTTTGTTTGTGTGAACTTACTTCTGTCTCTTTACAAGGAAATATATTTTCAAAGAAAGCAAATTTCCTTCATTCAATGATAGTACTTACATGTACATTAAATATTTCAGATTTATAAACCAAAAATCGGTATGCAGTACTATTGTTCGTATATGCGATAAAGACACAATCTATTGTCTTATGTTCAATCTTTACTTGTTTATGTTTAGGTATATGTACTTTTGTTAAACACCCCTACACTTTAAAATATTTGTAAGAAGGTTTTCAATTTTTCCACAATTCATAAGGTGATTCAACGTTACTCTTGTGTGGTATTTTATTAAAGATATAATTTGGCGAAAATATAACTTTCCCTCGCAAATTTCGAGGTAAGCCTGAATTAATCAACATTGTATTCATCATTTCCTCAAGTGTTCGATTTTTGCATGCAGTAACACCGTTAGATTAAGGTGAGCATGATACTGTAATTTCATGAAGAATTTCAGATTCTGAACAAACTCTTCAAACGGCGCGACATATTCTCCACCTCGATCATTACGAATCGTCTTTATTCGTTTTTCAAGTTGATTTTCGACTTCAATTTTACAGTGCTTAAGCACTTCCAAATTTTCATATTTACTTTTCAACAAGTATACATAACAATATCTTATACAGTCATTTATGAATGCAATGAAATACTTTTTAATACCTTTTGTTTGGAAATGCTTTAAATCACATATATCGGTGTAAATAAGTTCCATGAGTATTGTGCTTCTTTCATCAGAATGAAACGACACTTTGGCTAACTTAGCCTTTACACAAGTTTTGCATTTTCTATTGGTATTAAAATGCATACTTGGTATTAAACTTTAATCCATTAATTTGCTTATAGAACTAAAGTTTACATGTCGTAATCTATGATACCATAAATTAGATGACTCAAGAATATAAGTAGAAGAAGATATTTTATTTATTAAGTTATTCGGTACAATTGTAAGGATATTCGTCTTGAATAGTCCATCTTTTACATAGTCGTTGCCTACTTACAAGTTATTCTTGGTAAGTATAAACTCATCATATATAAAGACTAATTTAAAATCATTTTTAATTAACAAAGATCTCGACACTAAGTTTTTGGAAATTCGAACATGAAGAACATTGTTAAGGCTAAGTTCCTTGCCGGATGTCATCTTCAAAATTATCTTGTCTTGTCTTTCTACTTTTGAACTTGAAAAGTTTTTCATGAACATCTTCTCACCATCTATTGGGGTGTAGGATGAG